TATTTTTTGTTTCTGTGTTCAAGTTGTTTTTGTATAGTATGTGTTTTGTCATGTCACTGTTCCGACGTCCCCAGTGAAACTGTTTGCCACGCACTGCTTCTAACTCCTACCGTGGAGAAATTTAGGTTCTGTGGTGTGACGGTAAACTTAGTAATCTGCTGGCGTTCAGTTTAATTTTCTTGGATGATTTTCTATGGATTTCCGTCGTCCAGGGTACAGGTGAGAGGGCGTGGTTAAAATGTAATCCATTTATTATAAAAGTACAACGTTCATAAGTAATATATGTCTAACAACAATAAATAAAAATGTGATATTAGCTCTTCATATAATTAAAACATAATTTAATATCGAAATAACTTATTAAACACTTTAATCCTAATTATAGTTGAATATTATTATTTTAGGCAAGAGACAGACCTTCGTCACCCATTACACGGCCACCAACCTGCAGAGTGACGGCTTCGGTCCAGAAAGAGCTTTTTATCACGGACACGAGTCCTGGATGGATCACTCTCAAGCAATCGGGTTGCAAGGTGGGAGGCCACGTTGACTAACCCTCCCATACCAGCCAGGGAGGAACTGGCTCCTGGCGGAGGCCTTCATTACACGGTGTGGAAGACCCTAAATCGAATCAGGGTCGAGGTACCAAAATGCAAGACAAACATGCAGAAATGGGGTCTCTTACCGGACGAAGAAAGCATCTTGTGTGCGTGTGGTGCTGTTCAGGATCCTGGCCATATGCTGATCTATCCACGGCTAGACCAGTCTTGTACATTAGATGATCTTTTACAAGCGAATGACAAATCCATATCGGTAGCTAATTTTTGGAAAAGCGAAGTCTGATTTCCGGACACCGAAAGTGAGTAAGTAAGTATTTTAGGTAAATCTCAGAAAATGTACTCATTGTTGGGTCGTTTGTAAACAAATTAATTAACTGAATAAAGATTGAGTTTTTGAAATTTTTATAAACACATTAAAATCTAACTTTCAAAATATTAGTTGCAGTAATAATCAAATGTATGGACTATATTGAGAAAAATAAGTGTAACTATTCATCATAGAATTCTTATATTCTATTACAAATTAAACTTTTAAAATTGCCTTTTCAAGTACGATAATCAAGCTTCAAAGTGTTTTAATCAAGCTTCAAGTACGATACGTGTACAATGGTTTTGAACATATATTATTTAGTTGCTATGCTCACAAAACACAAACAAATATTTTTAGAAAGTAAATGAAAGATGACAAGGACCTTAATCCTTAAAGTCAAAGTAATGGGAAAGACTTGCAGAGGTTGAAAGTTCAGGTCATATATTTTTCTTACTGTAATTCGTTTTTCTCTGACACCTGCTTTTCCCACTTCTCTTCTAGTAGTGTAATGTGAAAATATTGTGTGAAATCTACATAAAAATTCCCTGATATTTCTTTCAATACTTATTCTACCCTTTGGTACTTTCAACACTAGCCTAAAATAAAGTTTATTAATATCTGTAAACGCCTTACAGTAGTTATTGTATGAAGAAACACTGTTTGGCTACGTTATGAATGTTAATATTGCGAATTTATTCTTGTGAACAGGTTTTGCTTTGAACAGACCTATTTAATAATCAAATCAAAATATTTTTACTCGTCATCTGTACATGATTGGTAGGTGTACATCGAATAGTGTCAATATATTACATTTAAAATATTTGTAATATAAAGTTGTATAATCAAACAAAATTAATAATAATAATCTCGAAATACCAAACCATACTTAAGTTACGGAATTAATTTTTAAGCATTTAATAGTTTTAAGCTAAATAAATTCACTAAATTAAATCCACTAAATTAATTTACCAGCAGCTTTGGTAAGTCCTCAAGGGAGTAAATAGCCCTTTCAGTCAAGAAATTTTTAATTTACGTTTAAAGGAATTTAAATTGTTGTTATTCTTTATATCACTTTGTATGTATTTCATAAATATTGATCCATTGCAGGTTGTTTTCTTTTCAAAACATCTTTATCCATGTTGATCAGTCTGGACTTAATTCCCATTTCTTGTATTGTAAGAGTGCGTTTAAATGTTTAAAGTTACTTGCTGAGAAATAGATTTTACGTAGATGATTAAATAAAAAAAAATTGCCCATAAACTGTTCTTAATAGTTTATTAATTTTTGTATAATTTATGAATTTCCATTGAATATGAACATACAGAGTGTCCCACGAAGAATTTTGAGTGTATATACTGGCCCCTTCATGCACCGAAAGCTTTGAAAATATATGCTATTGTATCTAATATTTTTTTCATAAAATGGTGCAATTCAGTATTATTTTTTATAGATTTTCTTCCAACAATAAACCACTTTCTTGGATTGATACCTCATTTGTTTAATACTTTGCAGTTTTGACACTTATTGTTGTTGACCAACTGATTAGATGAAGAATACGGATCAAGTGATAATTTAACCTAACCCTTTCTGCTGGAGTTTTGTAGCAACCGAAGTTCGAAGAAGAATTTTAATGTTGTTAAAAGTCACATATGATAAAAAAGTGAAGTTTTATGCGTGGAATTGTTTTTGGTAACGTTACTGAAGCAGTTCACCGAATAAGGGTTGCATACTTAGGATTAGTTACATATTATAGTTATTCTGTATACATAGAATCTTATAATACAATAGAAAGAATCCCTTAAATTTTAACCAAACGGTCATGCAATAATGTATAAGTAAATGAACAGAGTACACCTAGGTATCTAAATAGTTACACTAACTTGTAGATAACTAAGTTAAGTTGATTTCACCGTATGTTTAAGTACATACATAAGCTGAGTAGATGTCACCATATGTTAAAGTAGATATCAAAATTTTAACCTAACGAGCATGTCATATCTTCACTTATTACAAAACATATGCGTATGTAATTAGTGAACAAGAGTTCTAACATGGATGTTAAGATTAGTTTGGAGTTTCCGTTGTTAAATGTCAAACAAGAACAAAATTACAAACTTGGCAAGTATCAGATCTCATTCCAGATACGGTGTCAGCAAGTCTTAATTAAGGTGTGAGTGAAGTTGAAACTTTTAATTAGTTAGGTATTAGGTGTAAGACTAATCTTAGTATTCGTTTGTAGCATTTGACTGTTGAGATACAGATATAATTCAAGTTTAAAGCCTTTTGTAAGCATTATACAAAAAGAAAGTCGTGAATAATAATACATAAGGAGAAAAAACATTATCCGGTGTAAAACCGCCATCGTGTTGTGAAATATGAGGACAAGCTATTATTTATAAAACATAGGCTATGCAAATTATGAATATATTATTTGTATAATAAAATCAGTTCAAGTCCGAGAAATATTCATTAAAAATATCGTGGAAGGTAATAATTTGGCACGTTTGTAATTACTTTAATTGCTACATAATCTGTAAAATTTATTTCAAGTTGTATTTTTCATAATCCCTTTACTGACTAGACTTACGTAATGGAGTAAGATGAAGTGGAGTTCAGGCTGGATGGACTGTTGTTAGAATAATTATTGCTGGATACACCATGAATGGAAACAAAACTTAACGATGTTCCAACTTTTAAAGCAGTGTTAACGTTGGTCAACGTGTAAAACACTGGTTAAGTAAAAGTACATCAGACTCGCTATGGTTCGTGGTCGTGGTCGTGGTCGTGTTCGAGGTCTTGTTCTTAGTCTGGTTGGTGGTCTTGTTATGGGTCTTGTACTTCGTCTTTTTCGTGGTCTTGTTTGGGGTCTTGTTCGGGGTCTTGGATTTATTTGAATTTATTAGGAAATTGAGTTTATTAGGTTAAACTGAGTTTTTTTTTGTTTTTAAATCTCAGCGCAAGGTCGCAAAATATTCTTGAAAAAATATTGTGGAAGGTAATATTTTGAAAATTTAACGATGTTTCAACTTTTTAGCAGTGTTAACGTTGGTTTAACGTGTAGATCACTGGTTAGGTAAACCTCCATCCACACGCTTTAGTTAGTATATCTTTGTAAGCAATCGAGATTATGTTTATGAATTGTTATTAAGATTGTTTGTTAATTGATTGTTGTAGTCCTGGTCTAAATATCGCGTGGCGAAAATAAATAATATAACAGTAGTTGGTTGAACAGTAATATGAAAGCAAATTGTAAACAGTACACATGGTGCGGTACTAAGGCACAATTTGGGGAGCCCATATTGACTCCTGGAGTAGGACGAACATATGTATACTACACCATTGGGGATGAGAAGCAACCTATGGCAGTGCCTACTTGTCGGGAGCGCACCCGAGTTCTCCTGCAAATAGCGTGTGATTTTGAAAACATATGTCGGGATTGATGTGGATTGGAAATGTTTATGGAGTTGGACAGTAGTATAGGAAATGTTTATAGGGATGTATAGGCAAAGGTCAGGATTTTTAAAAAAGTGGCTAAAAATGACCTTTGTGTTTTGGACGTTCTTTATACCAAGAAAAACTTTCGGGCATAGCAAAAAAAAAAACTGTAAAAGTAGAGTCTCTTTCTCCTATTGCCATAATATTAAAATTTGCATAGTTATCAGGTAGTGACATCAGTTTTGATAAAATTTCAAATCATATTATCAACCTTTATGTGGTTCGACGTGTCAATTATTCTAAATTATTTGAGTTTGTAGCTCGCAAACAATATCACGGAATGAAAAACAACTCGAAATATTAAAATGCCGCAGATTGAATAAAACGCTTTTTTCTTTCGTTAGAATGGAATGATTGTTGTAGGCAAAACCTACCATTATTGGATGTTGGTGGTTTTGTGATTAAATCTGGACAGTTAAAAACCACTGTGGAATCTGAATTCTTTTATTTAATCAGTGGTTTGCTTCATGTACAAATATTTTATTTAAAATACTTAGTTATATTCGGATCTTTTCCATGTAATTTTATTAAATTCCAATGGTTACCTGTGGTTTATTTCATTTTCAAAATAATATAAAGCATATCTATATCAACCTTTATCCTCAAATATCTGGGTGTAATAGAAGCAAACAATATCAACAGATTAAAACAATTTATTGTCAGTATCCAATACACGTGCTAACAACACATTCAATATCACTTAATTTCTATGTTATAAAATTATCAACAAAACAAATAGTATTTCGATTTCTGGTAACAATCATCTACCTATTTTAGAAAAAATAGTAAAGATGCTATAGAAACCTTTTGTAAATTGAAAACTCTACAATCATAGCGGTTCTGTTATTTAGTAACAAGATATGTTAAGTTTTCTAATGATTCTACATAGGCGTAGGGTTTTGTATCTTAAGGGGTTTACCAATTAGAATTAATAGTATAAATGCACAGAGTTTTGATAAATATCTATTACAGGCTTTACAGAAATTGAAGAGAACCAATCCAAGCTATCAATAAGTAGTGACCTATGGTCAACTATACATAACAAAAGAAAATACATTGTTTTGACTATAAAACAATATTTGAAAATGGTAACTTAAATTATAGACAAACGACGGGACAAAAGAGGTCGACGAGGGAGAAGACCACTGGAGCCGCTGGAGCTGGGTCTACGTCCGAAAACTGGAGCTGGAACACTAGTGATCGAACTTTGCTCGTAAGAAATAGTACGTCGAAGAACATCAGGTTTGCCAGTATTACCAGCTGATCTTTGTAAGAAACTTGTTGAAGGACTACTAGATCGTTTGAAAGATGGATTTTGATATTCTATATCACAAGGAACTCTTCCTTCGTAGGATATCGATCTTCCAAAATAAGGAGGACGCGAAGAAAATGTATGATCACGACTGGAACATGGCACAATAGAACCTAACGCAGATGGAGTAAAGGTAGATTGAGATGGTGTAATTAGTTTTCTATCAGATGCAGCTGGAAAATGAGATCCATACTCCACATTGTTTCTTGAGTACTCCTCAAAAGACGATGCTCTGGAAATGTACGCTGATCTTTCTAAGGAAGTGGAAGATGGAGTTTCCCTATTTAAAGGTCTTCTGAAGCTGATTTCGTGTTCGCTTGAATTTGAAATGGGTTCTTCTAAGGATGACGATCTAAAATAGTTGGTCAACAAACTCGAAGAGGAGTTTGGATCAATGGAAGAATATCTCGGTGATTGCTCACGGGACAGTTCAGGGGACACTAAGTTTTCTTCGAATGATATCGATCGAGTGAATCTTTTGGGGGAGTGAAAGTTAGATGTGGGTCTCTCTAGGTCTACCTCGTACTTTGATGATGATTGGTTTGGAGTGGAGATCTGCCTTCTGAAAACAAGACCAATAATAAATAAAACTGAAATTAAATAGTAGTTTTGTAACAAAAATCAGCAAGCCTGGACCATTAATACGTGGGTATTTAATGGTGGAAAGCTAAAAGTTACTTCTAAAAAGTAAAACGTTTTAATTAATTTATTTCAAATCATTTTACAATCTAAATACTAAACACACCAATTTGAACAACGTTTTGTGCGTTCTACTGTATATCACCTCAGGGCTCAAACAAATGTATTTAAAGTATTCGTATTCTAAAATATACTTTCTTACTATACTCTACTGTAACAAATTTCTTGCTTTCCATCTCTTTAGGTGGCATTGACTGAATATTTCAATGCATTCTTTCTATGAGAGGGGATTTATAGAGTTTTATTGAGAAATATATTTAATTGTTGTGTGCTCCTTGTCTTTGTCTTCTTTGGCCAGTGGTACTTTAAGGAGGTGGTTTGGTATGAAATTAAATGCTGCAGTTTTGTGGGAATGTGGGTGGTTTGAGTTAACATGAATAACTTGATCGGTGTGATTTGGTTTCTTGTAAATGTTAAATTAGTGGTGCTGGTTATGCTTCATGATGGTTATATCGAGATAATTTATTGTTCAATAATTACTATACTTGTCGCGAAATACAAGTAGGTCTACCAAAGTGTATGTTTTGTCTTTCGTGTTTTTACTTGTGTTTAAAATGTATCATAACAATTTTACAAGAACAAAGTTGTTCATATATCTATTATGAAACAACCTCTATGAAGAAGTGTTGAAGATGGCTTTATAAAGCCAAAACAGACGTACAATAAGTGCAATACTGGATTGCTTCAAGACAGTTAGTCTTATATTTAATATTTAAAAGCAAATCCTGGCCAGCTAACCACAAAGTATTTATTAAGATATTATGTTTTGGTATCTAAACAAATATTGCTTGAATTCGTATAGTTTTTTTTTTCAAATAGTTTCAAATATATTTTCTTATGTCTGTTTCCTTGTTCCTTATCTCGTGATGTTCAAATGCATCATAACATGACTAGGCGATGAAAAGATTTCCACGCCTAGGAGGAAAGCATTTTACTAATCAATTACCTTAGAAGACCTGAAGGCGGTGATTCTCGCGGTCGCACACCAGAATGTTCCCATTGGACATCACTGCGACTCCCTCCAGTCCCTTGAACTCCCCGTCTCCCGAGCCCCAACACCCGAACGCCCTCAGGAAGCTGCCGTCCGGGTTGAAGATCTGGATGCGGTTGTTGCCTGAGTCCCCGACGATTATGTACCCTTGGTCGTCGACCGCCACGCCTCTAAAAAAATCAAAATATTCAAAACATTAAGTTTTATCATTATAAAAGGATTCTTTTGATTTAAGGTACTTGTTTGTAACTTATCATTTAAACAAAATTTGTTTTATTATGTCTTACTTCTAGTTATGTTAAGTGAAAAGCTTAAACATTATAAGCGATTTTTTATATGAAAAGGTGGGTATTGGTACAGTTTTGTACCTCACAGTTTTTCATTTCTCTATTCCTATCCTCTATTTCATATAATTTCTCTATTTTTCATTTCAATGGAATATTGAAATTTAATTGAAGTAATTCTAAGATATATTATATATAGGTTGAAAACGATTCTGCGACAGTGGATTTTATGTGTAGAATATTTATAAAACTACACCTGAAATTTTTGATGTTGTAAAATAATACAATGATGTAATATATTATATTGATCATACGTTATGTGTTACGTTACGGCACACAACAGAACAAAAACTGTAAAAAGTTCTTAACAAAGCTAAGTTAGTAAATTTACATTGCCAACACATCATACGATTCAAAATTACAAAAAAAAGGGTAATATATACAAGTGTAGCATCACATATTTTTTAGTGGCGAACAAAGAGCAGATGAACAAATCGACGAAATGCAATTTAAGGTTTTATGAGCACCCTTAAGAGTTCTGGTGACGTATTAAAGTCTATTGTTATTCTTTTAAATCATAGTTTTACATAGACAAAATTGTATAACGACTTTATTAGCTAATAATAAACAAAACTACTAAGTGCACATTTTAGAGGAATGTTGGTATAAGGACTGACGAAACATATGATGAAAATCTGAAAGTAGGTACACACGAAACTTAAATATATACAGCGTAACTAAAATTTGAAATAAATAGTACATTTCTTTGTTTATGGAATTGACTTGTTACATATTTATTTATTTATTTTAACGGACATCCCAATTTTACCTTAAACCCAGGTTCATAAAAGGATTTCCAGGGAAAAAATAAAACATTATTTTTTTCAAACTACTATTTCATATATCGCATATGCCATATCAAACACCTTAATAATCCTAGTTTTTATTATAGATTAAAATTAAAAGGTGGTGTATTATCTTATATTTTCAATTGAACTGAGTAGGCCACACTAAAGGGTCGAACGCATTTTTAGTCTTAAATTAACTTGAAACCTTCGGTAATTCATTGGATAAACTTTTTCAGGGGAAATACCGGGCTCAAACCAAACAAAATTTTCATAATATCGCCAAACCATGGAAAGCGAAAGGATTGTTTCATTAAAAGCCCGACATTTCAGACTTACGGTCGGCTTGGCGGGTGTCGGGTCCTTGGAAGGAGGGAGTGCATTTCTGAAATAGGATTTTGGGTGAAGGTAAGTTAGTGACATGCAATCGTTTTCTATATATTCTAAGTAAAATAATATAATTGCAAAACAAATGTATAATAATATATTGTGGAAAATTACCTAACAGACTCGAATAATCTTTATCACTCTGATTTTACATAATGATAAATTATTTAGCTATTCTGAGTTATTATTCCATGTAAATAAAAAATTATAAAAAACGAGCACACACTATAAATGTGAATGTCGCTGGACCCATCTTGAGTACATAACAAGGCTATTTCGATTAAGTGGCAAACGAATAACACATATTTATAAAGCATAAATAATTTGCTTTCAATAAATAATCTAGGTCTTCGTAAAAAGTCATATCTCATAAAGCTTTTAAAGTAATATTAAACAGAATTTTTCATTATTTATGATATTTAAGATTATAGTTACTAAGCTAAATAGTGTTACAAGGATTTATGTTTTATCTATGGTGTTACTTAATCATAGTGTGTTGGTGCAAAAACTTTGAATTAAATAACATGTAGTATACTCCCATTGTAAATAGGGTATTTGATATGATTTGAAAAAAAAGCTCTACAAACTCAACCTCCTCAATTGCATAAGTAAACTTCTAAACTGATAAGAATTAAAATTAATACGTTAATCTAAGTAAATTAAATTAACATCTGTTTGTTAATTAATTATTTGATCAAACTAAATGCACTCTGGCAAACAATAGATGAACCCTTTAAAAGTAATTATAACGCGTTATCAACAAACCTTGGGAACTTGAACTGCCCATTTTCCGACCCTTCAGTGCCGAAAGAATTTAGAACTCGGCCGTTTACGTCGAAAACTTGAATGCGATGGTTGTTGGAATCACTTACAATCACCTGTTGACAAAAAACATCAAATTTGTTAGTTTATGTTGCTCTAACATACATAAGGGACTGGCTGATTTAATATCTTGGTCTCACTGGGTGGATTTGGATTTAGTTGCCTATAAGAATATGAGTTTTAACTATGCAAATGACGATTTCATGATTTAAGGCCTTTAGAAACTGCCTATATTTGTAGGCCTTCTTACCTACAAAACAGACTAATAATAGGCCCACATATTAGGGATTATACAGGTTTCTGCGCTAAATGTCATACAATAACTATAAGTTATACATCTCTTAAAATTATATAGCATTACGTCATGATCAAGATAGTATTTATTAGGTAACTGTTCACCTCTTTGAGTAAACACATTACAATGAAATGTTATCACGCAGTATTTGTCAACAGATGCCCCTAAAGCTAAACAAAAGTACTGCAGGTATATGGGGCAGAACATTAAACGAGTGTCCAATATTTCATTTGTGTATAAAGCACAAAACTCTATGGGTTGCGGATGTTGCTTTCAACAGCCAATGAACATTTGCCATGGCTTTATGGCTTTTATTGTAATGTGAGCAATAATATTTGGTGTTCATTTACATATCAGAGTAATGAAACGGTATAGCTCTTTTTTATTTGTTAGCTCTCAACAATTCCTTTTTGCTGAAAGTATTTATCTGCAAGAGAAATAAATAAAGAATTATTTTTGTGCAATGATTTTAGGAGGGCGATGCAATATTTAAGTTTTTGAAACCCAGCAGCCTGCTTTAATTTAAATTCTCAACCCAGTCTGACCCTGTCAACGAGGTCGGGTACATAACGGATTTTGATCTTATTTCATATTTTATTTATCTAACTGAATAATACGAGTACGTTATTTTAATGCTACTTTACCTTGTTAGTGTTGGAAACTGCGATGTAGTGAGGATGTTCTAGTTGTCCTTGTTTACTGCCATGAGAACCAAACTTGCCTACAAAAGTGCCATCAGACTGGAACACCTGAGCAGGGATCGGATGTCAACAGAAAAAGTGATGTAGGTAGGTACTTATTTATTGTTTAATGTAGAACAAATATTCTATTGCCATTGTAACAAATGTAACCACTCGTATCAAGCAAATATCGTGACAAATGATCAAGTTTTTTCGCACGTTACGAGAATACATAAATGTATATATGAACCTGATCAGGATTATACAAATTACCCAAACTGTGTCAGGATATGTGAAGCTATACTTGCAAAATACAAAATTAAAATATAGATCACAAGAAATGGAAAGAAAAATACGTATTCCCTTTCGAAAGCAATACAATACAATACAATACACGTTTTGAAGATATTTAATCTTAATAATATTTTTTCTTAAAACTTCAAACAATCCAGAATTAAGATATTTTAACTATTTTATTTTGTATCATCGAGAAATTTTTTTTTCGTTAATGTTTGTCAATTTTTATTGATTGTTTGAAATCTACTTAGGAGCTCTAGACTAACTAAAAAAGCATATAGATTGGGCTGAATTAGTAGATTCAACACCACAGCACAATATAGTTCTAATATAACTAATAATATTGCAATTTTTTATAGTTTTGTAAATTTTATGTATATACTTTGTGTTTCCAGCGTAATGTTGTGATGAAGCTTAACAAATAATAAATTTATAATGAAGCTTATACATCCAGACACTTTCTTACGTTTAACGTTTTTCTTAGTAGAGCATTAAAGGCATATAAGTCATGTGTTCTACATGAAAACCAGGTTAAAACTAAGAGTAATAAGCTTAATTCATTCATCATTATCACAAGAGTGCAAATTAACGAAAGTATTAAAATACAGATAAAAGGTTTGTGAATTTTACCTGTACTCTGTGGTTTTCTTTATCACAAACATAAATGAAGCCGAGAGCGTCTGTGGTGATGCCCCATGGATAGTTGAATCTCCCATCAGCTGTGCCTTGGGATCCGAATGATCTTAGAAATCTTCCTGACGGATCCATCACCTGAAAAATATAAAAGCTGTGTCAACTGAGTATAGAATAAGTTAATACTTGGACTAACGGCTATTAAATTTCAACGCTAGGAAATATTTTAGTTTGTTTATATGTGTTGCTAAAAAGTCTAAGATTAGCTATGTATTTTAGAATACTATATTACTTTTAGAGATTATTATATTTCAGGGCTTAGCAAATCACTTTTCTCCCTACATATACCCCAATAATTACCGGTTATTTATTAAAAACATTAAATCAATGTGGTAAGAAGTAATTCTAATCAACAAGGATTTAAAACGATTGTGTATCATCTTTCATCTTGTGTATCATTTTTGTAAAACCGATTTTCTGTTAGCTTACTATTTCCATTGCACTGTCTTTTCCAACGATAAAATATTATTGTTTGCTATGTACAAAATAGTTAAATTATTTACTTCGAGTTTTTTTTTTATTCTTAAAAGGCTAAGAGTTTAAAAGGATTCGCCTGGTATTACCAGGAGTATACCAGTACCATTTGAATAAAAAGAGTATATTATTTTTTTCTTTTAATTTTGAATCTTGTGAAAATTAATTTTATTTTAGGATAGTTTAAAATAAAACTGCATTGAACAATGAACAAATTACTGTTTCTTGCATTCTATTCGACTGTAACAACAAAAATGTATTTCTTAATTTATACACCCATAATAATCCGTGTATATCTATATATTAATAGGCAAGCATGTTTCTTTAAAACCTTTTTTCTCAGCTCGTGTGTATCGTAGGGAAAATCTACGCATACCGTTAGAAAGCTATTTTCCTGTAGGTGTGCAGAATCCCTTTATAAATTAAAATAGGCTCAAAAATAAGCACAAAAAATGAATTTGAAATTTTAAAAAATTAACATGGGTCTTATGGGTTGCTATGGTGATGACGAAATAACAACGAAATATAAATAGAAAATCAAAACAAATGGAAGACATTCCAATCACATGTTTTATTTACAGTGTGTGGTGAAAATAGAGAAGTTTGCACAAAACATACTTTTGGTCGATTTTTCGACCCCGGGGCGTGCTCTCGTATATTATTAATATATTATTAATATTATTAATATATATATATATATATATATATATATATATATATATATATATTAAAATATTTGAAATATTGCTCAATTGAAACACAGTAACCTAAATACACACGATATCAAAGCCAAACGAAATAAAGAGGCTTGCAAACGGTAACCACTGGGTGACAGGTTCAATGTGTTTGGTCGCTAGACCAGTTCCCGCCAAATAGTCTGGCTACCGCGGGTTATTGGATGCCAACCAGCTTGTCAACATCTGTTCTGGTTGAAATGTTTAATGATCAGCCCACCTGTATGCGGTGGTTGTATCGGTCTGCAATGATGAACTGGCCGATCCTATTGACCGCCACCCCAGCCAAGCAATCAAACTCTCCCTCTGCGTTCCCGTACGATCCAAACTCCTTGGAGAATATTCCGTTGGAGTCAAAAACCTGCAAAAAATCGTGTATTTTTGTATTGCATTTGTGCATTGTTTAAACAATCAATAAACAACATTTGTAATACCATGTAACACAAAGTCCAACTATGTAACAGAAACTAGCCATCACCAAAATGCTCCACAAAAAAGTTAAAAAATATATTTAATTGTAAATGTAATTTTTTTCAAAGTAGTGAAAACATGTGATTTTTTATTTTATTGGCTGGATTGGAAATGTGCATTTTGAAAACATAACACATTACCATAAATGTTATACATATATTACGTATGAAAGTTATTGTTGACTTGTGTTATACATTAGAGCTAACCTGAACTCTGTGGTTGGAAGAGTCCGCGACTACGATGGAGTTGTCTGGAGCCACGGCAATACCTCGTGGCCAAGTGAAACATCCAGGCTCGCTCCCCCGACTCCCTACCTTGAACAGCATCCGCCGCTTTTGCAGGTACTGGTTCTTAGTACCGACTGCTGCGAAACCTGCAAACATCACAATCCAAACATAACATGGCTCATCAAATATGCATTGAAATCTCCAGAAATCACTGGTGATAAATGTTTCGTTTCGTGTTTCCGTGCAATGCGTTTGTTATTTATTAGCTACCACGAATACTATACAAGGCTCAGTATGGATCATAAACATAAACAAATGACGTTATTGGCCCGAAAGGAAACAAAACCTACTAACCCAACCTAAACTAACCTAACCTATACTAATAGCATTAATTAACATATGTTTTTTTATTTCGGGCCAAACTAGTTAATTGTGTAACTAGTGGGCGAAGATGCACCTTGCTACACACTAGAGAAGTGTTTACGCATGAGTCCTAGGCGAGTATGGATATTTTTCCTACGGTTACTATAAATCATATAAATAATTTGTAGATAATTTCAAACACTGTACAGCACGTTTTTAAGTTGGGTTAATCCAAACATTGGACGAAATGGGAAATGCCGCACAAGCTGAGCGTAGTCGTAATATCTTCAAGTGTTGCCAACTCATTTGAAAGCGTCCATGTACTACTTGCATAATAAAAGTACGCTGTTTTATGTTGTTTGGTTGGAATACTGGTGTGCACCAACGTAAAACCTGTGCGCCAAAGTAAAAAAACGGTGTGCCAAAGTAAGGCTTTCTGTACTATCATCTGTGCAAGGAAGCCCACTTTGTCGGGTGACTGTAGTAGGAAAACGTAGTTTGCTTTTTGTTTATGATCCATATCAGTTCTTTTGAATTCAGTTTGAGATCTCACCGGCCGGAGCCATAACTTGAGTAGGAGAGGTGGGGGAGCCTGGCAGGTTTTTTTGATCGTCTGCAGAGCTGTCTTCTGAGTTGGTCCTGAGAGGGAGCCCAAGACTGAGTCGTCTAGAGGCTGTACCGCTGCTGGTGTCTTTGCCATCCTTGCCTCTGTTGCCGTACTTGTTCTTGAGGTACCTTGCCCATGAACTGAGGGCGGCGCCGTCCTTCTCACCACTGCTGGCTCCAGCTAAAACATACAGTAGATGATGTAAAAAATGAAAACTGACTCAAATAACAACCAATTTGAATATTATTCATTATTTTGTTCTTGCGAACATTAAGTATGAACTAACTAGAAAAATATTTTTGGAGTTTCAAGGTTCGGAATTTGGTTCTTTCGACACATGAGGCATTACAAGGTTTATATGGGCTTACAGGTACTTAAAGTAAAGTTTGTTTATCAATCTTTCTATTTACTGCCATACTTAGAAAACCAGGATATCGTTATCCAGATTCCGAGGAGTCATCACGTATGACAACACGTTCTTTTTATCTTTAAGACGCAATACAAATCCAAATCAATAAGTGTAAATATTAAGTCTAACAAATATATTCGTTTTAATATTGAAATTGAGCTAAGAATTCATAGTAGAGTTTGACGTCAGCCACGTGGCTAACTGAGACCTTCTAGTGCCTTTTGTAAGTAGGCCTAAGGGCGAACAATTTGGCTGCATTCTCCAATCGACAATGAGGTTCACACTGAAAGCTACTAAGGATTGTTAACAAAAAATTAATTAATAACGCCATTTGTGAATACTTACAAATTAATTTATGATCAAATTTAAGTTTTACGTATTTTTAGGAAATATTTTAAAACTTTTTTTAACGTAGGTTACAAATATACTTTTTACGTTATTTAATACCGAAAAGTCTCCGTGTCTCAACAATATTCAAAGTTATTGTGTTGATCTCTTGATAATTATTTTACAAGTTGTTTCATATTAAAAGTTAAAACTAATATGTAAACATGATGAAAATTGCCTTGTTGGTTAAATGGTCTTTGTAAAAAAAAATAATAATAAAATAATAAAAAATAAAAAAACTTTAATAAATAAATCATAGTGAATAATGTTTGGCAGAAAAAATAACAATTTCAACCAAGACAAATTTTGAGCAGAGAGGTTACATGTTTTAAAAGTGGTGCATTGCAGCCATGGTTTGAGGATCTTCCAGCATAACAGATAATTTTGAGACAAGCTAGAAGTTAACCTAGCTCAGCTAAGCTAGGAAATTAACCTAGTTTTTAATACTCTATTAGTAAAGATATTTTAAACTTTTTCAGACGAGATAGTTCTGGACCAAGGTAGGAAAATTGTAAAATTGAATTACTAATATAAAAAACAAGGTAAAAGAGGAAGCCCGTCCTCTTTGAAACACCCTTATAAAACTTTCATTAAAATTCGTAGTAATAAATCTATGGTAGTGTTTGCTTCAACAAAACCTCAAACTAACCTACACACAGTTTGTCACTTATACAGGGTGTCACACGAGAGGTGTCTCAAATTGATTACGGAAAAACGGCTTAACGTACAAGGATGAAATAAAATTATTTTCCGCTAAATCGACCCCAAAGGAATAACGTAAAAATATTTTTAACTTTTTCCCAATACAGGGTGTGCCGAAGACTGAGGGTCCCTAATTCGTATCTCGGAATTTTCAAATGTAAACATATGTCATGCTATACATAATTTTAAAGTTATTTGATAGACAAACATTTTGGCAAAAACAGAAATTAATTATCTTTTTCCGTTTCAAAATGGCAGCAGTTGTTTAAAAAAATATTTAACATTTTTTAATACTCTGTGTGTCCTATACCAATGCATTTAGCCCTTCTCCGGTTGAATTTTCTTACTCGTTATGAAATTAGCTTTACTTTGATATGCTACAAGTAACGGTTTTTTGAAATAATGAAAATAAAAATCAAATTATTTTAGAAAATTTGAAAATAATTATTGTTAAAAATTTTCAAATAGCAACATACATCAAGTGGCACATCATTTTATAGGGTTTTTATTTCCTAACAACTTTGTAATTTACACTTCGTATCTCTTTTAGTTTTTGCGTTAATAACAAAAAACCTAATTTTCCTATATCAAATGCATGTTATTTGGGTTTGGCGTGGTTTAACACTTAATGAAATGGGGCCTTTAGTGTTAAACCGAGTACTTAAGTTTACTGCGACAGGGGAGGGAAAAGGGTTTTTGATAGAATGTTATTAGTAGAGGGCGAAATAAATAAATTTGTCAAATCTTAATAAATCGGTCAATGAGACTCTCGGAATAGCTATTACCCTATAGGGAAATTTGCTAACAATAGATTTTGACTATCAAACAGCTATTGTATCTGTACTCATTTTCACAATTTCGGTTGTGTTTACCTAAAAAAAACACCTTTTCATTTATTTTTGAACTCCCACAGTCAAAATTATCGTCAAAACTCATATTCACTTCAGCTGGTCATATTTGCTTCAGCTGCTGTTGGCTTTACCTACCTGTGGAAGAAGGGCGTTCGGGCGAGTTCTCTCGTGACTTGAGAGTGTGAGTTGAACGACTCCTGGCCAGGTCACTTCCACTCTGGCCATATCCCTTGGCCGCCATGTATGCTGCAGGTGACGTCGTCTCGTCCGGGTCCTCGTCTTCGTCAGCTCCGAAGTTGTGAGAACTCTTGCTGCGAGCTAGACGGGTCTTGCGGTCCTGCCCAACAACGGGATGTTATACTAATGTAGTATATAAATATGCCGGGACACAAGAGAAAATAGATTTGATACAAAAGAAAACAATTTATTTAGCTCCATAACTTTGGTTATCAACTTACTAACGTTAAACCACATCAACAAAATGGAGAAACCACTTTTAACAAAGCTTAAGAAATGGTCTGTAAATTTTGTTATAGAAAATTACTTAATTCTGAACAAACACGCTTAATCATTGAAGCCCTACGGATTTGAAGGAAAAAATTAAACGAAAACTTATCTACTGTGACTTTAATAGCTATAAAAAGTTGACAGTGAAAATAAAACAATTCTACGTTAAACAAAGTATATCTGACTCTTCAGCAAAGAATACATCAATAGACATGGTTTAGCCCCTGAGCTGAATGATGACTATAATATAATTGTACAATTACCTCGTCACAGCTCCGTAGTTTCCGTATATATTTAGGCCGTTTCGGCATCAAAATGCCATCCTCAGATACATACATCCACCGGATTTGGCGTCGTCAAACTTGAAACACACACGTAACACGATAACAAACATTTAAAACATTTAAAACATAAAAAACGAAAGACAGGCCTGTCGCGCACATGATGAGTACGTGTACGGAAGCTGACTGGACAACTGCTAGTTCGTTCCAGCCGTTGTGGTATTATCTCTTGGACTTTGATCCCTTGGCTTGCTTCGTTTGATGATGTTATTGAAAATAGTGTGAGATTTAAATTGTAGTTGGTCATTTAGTATGGATTCATCGTTGTTTTTTATTTTATGGGCTTTATAAATCTCATATTCCTCAAGGGTGTCTAGTCTATTTCCATTAATACAGGCGTGCAGAATTTCTAAGCCATTGTCCAAATCAAGTAAGTCGTGATTATTGTCAACCAGGTGTTGTGCAAAAGTGGATTTTTGTTTGTCAGTTTTTCCGTTAGGGCGATGTTCTTTGTACCTGATGCTAAAGGAACGTCCTGTTTTTCCAATGTACGTACTCGGACAACTAGCGCATTTTATTTTATATACACCTGATTGGTCAGCTTTATTTTTATTAATCTTAGGTTTTAACTTATTTATAACTTTATTGCTGGTTCTGAAAGCTAGTTTAATTCCATGCTTTTTCAACTCATTCTTTAGGCAGTGTTGCAGGGGATGAGAATAATTTACGCAGACGAATTTCTTGTTTTGCTGGGTTAGATTCTGATTTGGAGTTTGTTTATTTTTGTACTTCTTTACTAAGCTATCGACCATTTTAATGTCATACCCATTAGATAGAGCGATTTGCTTGATGATTTTGAGTTCTCTATTGTAGTTCTGTTCTGTCATTGGGACATTTAATAGGCGATATAGGTACCATGCTATTGTAGGCGGCTAGTTTATGTGATACGGGGTGGTAAGAAGTGCTGTGGATGGTTTGGTTTGATGTAGTAGGCTTTCTATATATGCTAAAATCTAATCTGTTATCAATCTTTTCTATTGTGATGTCCAGGAAATTTATTTTACTTGATTGCTCAGTTTCCATAGTAAACTTCAAATTAGGCGCTATATTGTTGAGGAATTTGTGCAAAAGGTCGAGCTGTCTTGTGTTACCCTTGAAAATAAGGATGGTATCATCAACATAACGGTGATATTCCATTATCTTGTTTTTCTGCTTGTTTAGGTCTGAGAATATATACTTATTTTCAATATAGTTCAAATATACGTTGGCAAGTAAACTTGATAAAGGAGAGCCCATTGCTAGGCCAGTTGGTTGGTTGTAATATTTATCATTGAATTTGAAATAATTTTGTCTGAGTATTTCTTTTAACAAAGTTAGTAGTTCAGTAATCGCTTCAGGTAGTAAACTCGAATCTTTGTTGAGGTGGTCTTTGACTATGTCTAGAGTTTGGTCGACAGGGACATTAGTAAAGAGATTGACTATGTCGAATGAAACTAGTAAATCATGAGGGTTTACTTGTACATTTTGGCTTTGTTGATAAAATCATAGGTGTTGATTAGGCTGTAATTATTATGTAGAACTATTTGTTTGCTTAATATATATTCAAGTTTCTTAGTGAGTTTGTATGTTGGGGCTGACGTGTAATCGACCAGTGGTCTTATTGGGCTGCCTTCCTTATGCACTTTAGGCAACCCTCGTAACATTGGTGCATTGGGGTTCATTACACAAAGGCGTTTTATTTCCTCCTCGCTGAAAAGAACTTTGCTACTGTTTATAAGTTTCCTAATTGTCTTCTGGTAATTGTTAGTAGGGTCTTTTTTCAATTCCATTACACCATTACTCTGGATAAAATCGTTGACTTTGTTATTATAATCATCTATGTACATTAGTACAGCTGTATTGCCCTTATCAGCTTTGCATAACAAAGCATTGTTTAAACATAGCTTCTCCTTAATACTACTTAGAGCTAATGTCTCCTTCTTATGTAAATTAATTGAATGTGAGGTTGATTTTGAGTTCTCATGTATCCTATTTAATTTATTAGTCACTATTACACGAGCGGAATTGCGGTTATCTTCATCTTGGATGGCTTTAATTGCACATTCAGCATTAATAAAATCGTCAAACTGTGCTTTTTTGCCTACTTTGGGGAGGTTATACTTTAATCCTTTCTCTAACACAGAAACTTCATCATTGTCTAGTACTATATCGGTGTTATTTATTAATCTAGGGTAGAATTCAAACTCATGTAAGATTGCTGTTTCTTTGTGTTTTTGTTCATTTATTAAGCTTGAAAACTTTTTTTGTAGAGTGGACTTTTTAGACTTCATAATTTTAGTGATAGAAAGCTCAATTTTATCCAACATTTCTTCGAAAATAATGTTGTGTGTGCAGTTTGAAAACTCTAGGTATTTTCTAAGCATGAGCCTATTTAACATATCCTTCTTCCGATATAAAAACTTTATTTCATTTTTAATCCATAACTTTTCTGCCTGTTCTAAAGTTTTCTTGGCTGATAAGGATTTGTTTCTAACCTTTATTTGGACGTAGTTAGGTTTTAATCCATAACGAAGGCAGTCCTTATTAAACTTTATGTTCTGAACCGTGTTGTGTAGTTTCAGTTTGATGTTCTTGTATTGTGTGGCTAATGTTGCTTGACTAGCATATGAATCAATAGACATGGTTTAGCCCCTGAGCTGAATGATGACTATAATATAATTGTACAATTACCTCGTCACAGCTCCGTAGTTTCCGTATATATTACGGCCGTTTCGGCATCAAAATGCCATCCTCAGATACATACATCCACCGGATTTGGCGTCGTCAAACTTGAAACACACACGTAACACGATAACAAACATTTAAAACATTTAAAACATAAAAAACGAAAGACAGGCCTGTCGCGCACATGATGAGTACGTGTACGGAAGCTGACTGGACAACTGCTAGTTCGTTCCAGCCGTTGCGGTATTATCTCTTGGACTTTGATCCCTTGGCTTGCTTCGTTTGATGATGTTATTGAAAATAGTGTGAGATTTAAATTGTAGTTGGTCATTTAGTATGGATTCATCGTTGTTTTTTTATTTTATGGGCTTTATAAATCTCATATTCCTCAAGGGTGTCTAGTCTATTTCCATTAATACAGGCGTGCAGAATTTCTAAGCCATTGTCCAAATCAAGTAAGTCGTGATTATTGTCAACCAGGTGTTGTGCAAAAGTGGATTTTTGTTTGTCAGTTTTTCCGTTAGGGCGATGTTCTTTGTACCTGATGCTAAAGGAACGTCCTGTTTTTCCAATGTACGTACTCGGACAACTAGCGCATTTTATTTTATATACACCTGATTGGTCAGCTTTATTTTTATTAATCTTAGGTTTTAACTTATTTATAACTTTATTGCTGGTTCTGAAAGCTAGTTTAATTCCATGCTTTTTCAACTCATTCTTTAGGCAGTGTTGCAGGGGATGAGAATAATTTACGCAGACGAATTTCTTGTTTTGCTGGGTTAGATTCTGATTTGGAGTTTGTTTATTTTTGTACTTCTTTACTAAGCTATCGACCATTTTAATGTCATACCCATTAGATAGAGCGATTTGCTTGATGATTTTGAGTTCTCTATTGTAGTTCTGTTCTGTCAATTTACTGTGTTAGAGAAAGGATTAAAGTATAACCTCCCCAAAGTAGGCAAAAAAGCACAGTTTGACGATTTTATTAATGCTGAATGTGCAATTAAAGCCATCCAAGATGAAGATAACCGCAATTCCGCTCGTGTAATAGTGACTAATAAATTAAATAGGATACATGAGAACTCAAAATCAACCTCACATTCAATTAATTTACATAAGAAGGAGACATTAGCTCTAAGTAGTATTAAGGAGAAGCTATGTTTAAACAATGCTTTGTTATGCAAAGCTGATAAGGGCAATACAGCTGTACTAATGTACATAGATGATTATAATAACAAAGTCAACGATTTTATCCAGAGTAATGGTGTAATAGAATTGAAAAAAGACCCTACTAACAATTACCAGAAGACAATTAGGAAACTTATAAACAGTAGCAAAGTTCTTTTCAGCGAGGAGGAAATAAAACGCCTTCGTGTAATGAACCCCAATGCACCAATGTTACGAGGGTTGCCTAAAGTGCATAAGGAAGGCACCCCAATAAGACCACTGGTCGATTACACGTCAGCCCCAACATACAAACTCACTAAGAAACTTGAATATATATTAAGCAAACAAATAGTTCTACATAATAATTACAGCCTAATCAACACCTATGATTTTATCAACAAAGCCAAAAATGTACAAGTAAACCCTCATGATTTACTAGTTTCATTCGACATAGTCAATCTCTTTACTAATGTCCCTGTCGACCAAACTCTAGACATAGTCAAAGACCACCTCAACAAAGATTCGAGTTTACTACCTGAAGCGATTACTGAACTACTAACTTTGTTAAAAGAAATACTCAGACAAAATTATTTCAAATTCAATGATAAATATTACAACCAACCAACTGGCCTAGCAATGGGCTCTCCTTTATCAAGTTTACTTGCCAACGTATATTTGAACCATATTGAAAATAAGTATATATTCTCAGACCTAAACAAGCAGAAAAACAAGATAATGGAATATCACCCTTATGTTGATGATACCATCCTTATTTTCAAGGGTAACACAAGACAGCTCGACCTTTTGCACAAATTCCTCAACAATATAGCGCCTAATTTGAAGTTTACTATGGAAACTGAGCAATCAAGTAAAATAAATTTCCTGGACATCACAATAGAAAAGATTGATAACAGATTAGATTTTAGCATATATAGAAAGCCTACTACATCAAACCAAACCATCCACAGCACTTCTTACCACCCCGTATCACATAAACTAGCCGCCTACAATAGCATGGTACCTATATCGCCTATTAAATGTCCCAATGACAGAACAGAACTACAATAGAGAACTCAAAATCATCAAGCAAATCGCTCTATCTAATGGGTATGACATTAAAATGGTCGATAGCTTAGTAAAGAAGTACAAAAATAAACAAACTCCAAATCAGAATCTAACCCAGCAAAACAAGAAATTCGTCTGCGTAAATTATTCTCATCCCCTGCAACACTGCCTAAAGAATGAGTTGAAAAAGCATGGAATTAAACTAGCTTTCAGAACCAGCAATAAAGTTATAAATAAGTTAAAACCTAAGATTAATAAAAATAAAGCTGACCAATCAGGTGTATATAAAATAAAATGCGCTAGTTGTCCGAGTACGTACATTGGAAAAACAGGACGTTCCTTTAGCATCAGGTACAAAGAACATCGCCCTAACGGAAAAACTGACAAACAAAAATCCACTTTTGCACAACACCTGGTTGACAATAATCACGACTTACTTGATTTGGACAATGGCTTAGAAATTCTGCACGCCTGTATTAATGGAAATAGACTAGACACCCTTGAGGAATATGAGATTTATAAAGCCCATAAAATAAAAAACAACGATGAATCCATACTAAATGACCAACTACAATTTAAATCTCACACTATTTTCAATAACATCATCAAACGAAGCAAGCCAAGGGATCAAAGTCCAAGAGATAATACCGCAACGGCTGGAACGAACTAGCAGTTGTCCAGTCAGCTTCCGTACACGTACTCATCATGTGCGCGACAGGCCTGTCTTTCGTTTTTTATGTTTTAAATGTTTTAAATGTTTGTTATCGTGTTACGTGTGTTTTTCAAGTTTGACGACGCCAAATCCGGTGGATGTATGTATCTGAGGATGGCATTTTGATGCCGAAACGGCCGTAATATATACGGAAACTACGGAGCTGTGACGAGGTAATTGTACAATTATATTATAGTAAAGAATACATTCTTCGCAGAGTGATAAATCGATCAATTAAACATTTTCTCACAACCCCTTTTTACAACCTTTTGGATCCATTATGTACCTTTGAGCCAATTCGCTTTAATAGTTTGACAGGCAAACCTAACACAAAACAGACAATAAATCAACTCGGATCTTAATTACCTTGAGGGCGGAGTATCTGGACCTAGCCGTGCTTGGGTATCTGGAGTCATCGGTGCCAGCAGAAGAGAACTTCCTTTCTGGCGCTTCCTCCTCCGGACTGACGGCGGCCGTGCTCTTACTCTTGTTCAGGAATCGGCTCTGGAACCCCCCAGGACCGTACCTGGAGGAGGTAGGTTCCTCCTCGGCTGTGGTGGTGGACGTTCGGGAACGCCAGCTGGGAGTGGTACTGGAGGAGTCGTCCTTGTTACCGTATCTTGACTGATAAGAGCTATCCCCATACCTGGAAATACGATATGTATGTTTACCATGGTGAATTTCATACACATTTCACAGGCAGTACGTCGTACGGTTTTACTTAGCAGTTCATAAAGTATTTTTCTAACTAAATCACCTTTCATAGTTAGATCTCTTTTATAGAGCTAGTTTAGTACTCACCTTGGCGTAACTTAAAGGCATACACATTCCTTGAGCTCAAAGTAGGCTTGAAGCTTATTCTTTTACTACTTCCGTAGTTTCTTGACGTACAAAATTATTACAAAATTAGTACAAAATTAGCTTTATATTTTTCTGAGCAAAAATCTTTGAAGCTCTTAAATAAATATACTAGGCGTATTGAAAATTCAAAATATATATTTAGCTATCCTTTTTATTAACTATAAGAGGTCAAAAGGTTAAACTATCTTTCAATTTAGTAAATAAGCAAAACAAGGTATTACGGTTGTACAGTATTTGGAAAATTATTCATAAAATATTTAAAACTTTTAAAACCATTTTATACGCAAACATTTGTCACTAAATAATGCTCTTAAAGTAAACAAACCTGAATACCTAATAATAAATTGTTTGGTTTAATTCAATGTTTTTGAAAATACCGATGAGTACTGAAGGTTTAGTGACTAACATGAGGGTGTAAGGGTGATGCTAATATCTTATTTGTTGTAGGTTTGGGTTATCCGTAGGTGATTTATATGCAGATAGGGTAGCTGGCTGTCTGTTTATATGACTTCCAAGGAGTGATGCATGGTCTTGGAGCGTGTACTGCATAAACATCCCTTGGGGAACAATACACAAGACAAAGTAAGGCTCATCTTCTTGTGAGACTATCAAGGGCTGAAGAAACCATAAAACGGTGTTTTTACTACAAAGTTCCAGCTATATACTTAACGTGTCCCGTCAATTTAGGTATTTATTTGTTAACAATAGTGTATGAATCCCGTTTGAGATATGGAAGTTAAGGGCTTAAAAATGTAATGGAGTTGTCTATTAAAGTATAATCATATGTAAAAGGCCTATTACCAAAGTTTGTTATACTTTATGTTATAACCAGTGTCTATTCGAATGTTTAAGACTCATATGTTAAAACTCTTTATTGAAATAATTATATTATTAATTGAATACAAGTGATGTACACTGTCTTAAAATGTATTTAAATTTAATTTAAACCATCAACTAAATATTAATTCTAAAAGACAATTAAGTAAAACACAATTATTAGGGTTTGTTTATGTTTGTCAATAGGCCTACCAACAAAACTATATTTACTGATTCCCATGTTGATTAAATTATGTTACAATTCGGATTTAAAATATTAGTTTCACGATCTATTGATTAGTAGTATAAATCACCATTTACCAGTTTTATGGAAATTGAATAGAAAACATTTATTCTTTTACTTTTACTTTGTACATTTTGACGTGAGTGGAATTATAATCAACTGTTTCCAAACATGTCTGACATCATATGTAAAATAATAGAGGCGTAAATATAGCAAAAATGTATTTAAAGTCAATAATTAATGATTTTGGGAGAATACATGCTATGTTATACCAAGTTTAGGGACCAGACTCAAATTTACTGTTTTACTTTATCATTAAGAAAGTAATATTAATCCAATAGCAATAAACCTAGTATGTATCTAATGTCTTCTAAGCTGATAATTTAACAGTAAAACCTGTTTGGTTACGAGGGAAATGAACACATACACTTATACAAAAGTAAACTTGGGTTCGCTAAGGTGTAACATCTACCATACACCTTTTTAAGATTGTAGTGGTACAAATTATAACCCAATACAAACAATATTCAACATCAATTAGGTCATGAAACCAACCTAAAACACAACACATAACTACTTTACAAAACCAATTAGGTATATAAAATATATATTTTAAATGTTATTGATATTGTGTGAAATCGGACAGGTTTTTTTTAAATGACTTATCACACAAACGTAACAGTTTTCGAGTATACGACTATTTGAACAAAAGGTCACTTGCTTCTGGGGACACCAATAAAAACAACTACAATAAACCTGAACTAAACCTTTACGTGAACGCTACAGTAATGCAGTTGGAACATTCTTAACCAACATTCTTGGTTAATGTTAGGAGCATCAAAAATGCTTAGAATATATACTTATAGTAGAAGATTAATATAGGGGGTTACACTAGACAATAAAGATCTACATTTTTCAGTTTTTAACACATTGGGGAAAACTACCAAATAAATTTATTCAAAAGGGATCGTTGGTCACGATATCCACAAGGGTTTCAGAATCTACTAAATACACTTTACACAAGGGACTAAGTTACCTCGACCCGGTTGATTCAGGATCAGGGTCTCTGGATCTAGTAAGATAAGAATGAGGGTCGTCCCTATCTCTAGCGTAAGATGTTCTGTAGCTGGGCTGGCCATACCTAACAAGATATACTCACCTTAGACAAACTAAAACTTCCAAAAATTTTTTTCTTTGATTGAACAGTGTATACTAACACATATATAAATATAATTGATAAATTTAACCAATTGTTTCGTATTCATTTATATTATTTTTGACGTTACAAATGTTGACGTTTTTAGTTTTGTAACTGGGCATGTTTGCTGTGCACTGTGAAATGTGAATTCATAAAAATAATCATTATTGTTTACTCCACTTATATTTCTAAAAATTTTAGTGCTGCAATTAATGTTTGTTGCTATAATATCTATACTTAATCAAATGCAAATGTCGCTTAGTTGCACGTCCAAACAATCAACAAAGCAATTACCGACCAACCACTTTAATTTATTTTCTTGTTTTAATTGGATTCGCAGTGGGTTCGTAAAATGTGCAGTAACTCTTTTTTTGTAAATGGCTATGTTTCAATACATCTTAGCATGATTGTTTTTAGTATTTGGCTAAGCAAGAATATTCCGATCTTGGCTACATTGTAGAATGTTCGTTACAACTGTGTATCCCAAAACATCTACCTTTTACACTAGTCATATAAAATCTTAATAGTTATAAAGATCGACTGTGTAGAACTTAAACCATTATTTTTTTGGTTGGTAAACCATTGAGTGGAAGTTAAATATAGCTTTCCCTGTTTTGCAAGTAATATAAAAATAAATGGCATGTTTTTTCTTCTTCCTTTTTGTTTTCTCCTTGCGTATTTTCGTATAAGCAACGTGATGTTGGTATATACAAGCTGAGACATATAATTGCTACAGTATAACTCTCATGAAAACCTTATACATGACATTTAATTCGTGGTTTGTGAGAGGATGCGTCACATACTCCTCATGTTTCTTAAATTATGTTTTTACGTTTACATCTTTCTGTACGGTTTCAGTTATTAACATTTCTTTGTTAATGACACTTCCTGTTCATTAATGTAGGTCACATGTGCAAGTTTCATGTAGGTTCATACGCGGTAGAATGATGTAATGCTATAGGGAATATTTTGTCCATAGCACATAGTCTTGAAAGTGCCCCGACATGATGTCAGATGAAAGATCATTTTCTTGCAGTTTTAATGCGTATGTTTTATTCCTGCGTAATTGTCATCTTCCATGCTCCATTGTTCTTTGTTGTAAAATAATATCTTTCGTGTGGTTTACTTTTATGTATGCGTTTCAATATTTTTGAGTGGAAATATTGTCCTCAGGAATATTTTGTATCCAATAAAGCCATGTGAATAATATTTTTATGACGTTTCTTGGTACATGTGTTTATGAGTTTTTCTCCATGTAAACTGTTGCAAGAAGTCGACGTAATTAGAGGTACCTGTTTCCTGTAACCTCTTGCTCTTGACTTTCTCTTCTCTTTAGTATGCTCGCAGGAGCCTGGGACGATTCTCTCGTAAGATAAGACTGGTCTCCCCATCTGTAAATCCAAACTTATACGTTTAAAATGTCACTTACATCTCAGCTGACCCACGACTTTCATTAGGTGTGGTGTTGGTGGAAGCAATAAAGGTTTCTATGCATATATCAGTTCTTTACTTTGTGGAATCCATTTTTAGTGTATATCGTGCATTCTTATAGTATATTTTTGCTGTGTATAATTATATAAATTTTTGAATATTTTCGTCATGTAAATCACCAGTGAAGGCTTAATTTTCTTTTACATCTCTAGACAATAATAGATTGAATCCAACTAAATATCTTGTTTTGTTGTAAGACTAAAGCAAAGCCTTTAATACTGCTTAAAATGAGGCCTTGTTTTGCCCATTCCATTTCCTTATTTAAACCTGCATTTTCCAGTCAAGCATGGCCTTCGTTCTGTTTGTAGGACTTTTAATAAAGTAAGAGAAATGCACGCCTTCTCCCTTAGTGAAAATTACCGAAACATGGATTGTTGGCTTCAGCCTATGACATTGCAGCCTAGATCTGCACATGGTTGCTAAGATGATAAATAAAAAAAATGCTCAACCTAAATGTAAACATGCTTTTAATACCACATATTTTTTATGAAATATTTTTAAAGTTTGTAGTAGTCATTTAATATTTTCCCTATATTGGAGTAGCTTTACCTATGGCAAAACCAGTTGTTAAAATAAAGATCAATACATTATAATGGTAAGAATACCCTTTGGGAGGGAACACTATAATGTGGTAGAAACTATAAAAACTATGTACTCACTACGAGCCTACCTTGAAGTGTAACCTTCATCTTTGCTACTCCTCCTCGTGCTAGTACCGCTCCCGGAATCCCTTGCCTGTTGAGATCTTGCCAGAAGAGGACCAATGTCTGTCTTCTCCATGGGCTTAGCCACCGTCTTCGTCTTATCGTCTGATTCCTCTTCGGACTCTGACTCTTCACTTTCAGAACTCTCCTCGCTGCTTTCCTCTTCCTCATCCTCTTCTACCTTGGCTGCCGGAGTCGGAGCTGTAGGAGTTGTTGGGGTCGATGGAGTGCTGGAGGTCCCAACACTTGCCCTGTTAGCTGTTCAACATAACATAACTTGTAAAATTTGTTGTATAATAAGGTACAACACCCATTGGCCAAGGAGATAAGTGGACATTTCGTCCCGCCTTAAAGCTGGAGCAGTTTCAAAATGAAAACGGGCACTAAGCCAAAAAAATAATACCTTGATATCAAATACCGATTTCAATTTGATCCTTAAACCAAGTGGAGTTGACTGGACCTTTTGCAAACTATGAGTATTTCTACTATTATTAAAAATTTGAGTACCAAAAATTAGGGAAGGAAATATAATATCAGTTGTAAACTCTTCGAGTAACTCATTCAAATATTTGAGTAGAAATTGACTACTGCTAGCTGGTTCATGTAGATGACACGTCTACTACAGTATTCAATAGTAAATAGTGAACATAATGCTAATTATATTATAAAGATAAAGATATTCTTAATTATTTCAATTAATTTGTTCAATCACACACAAGTAATAAAATCGAATAGTTAATTATTTAAGACTGTATACAAGCACACAATAACCAACTAGAAAAATAATTGACTACAATTATCCTTGTTTTATTCCTCCATTGGTATAGGGGATCTAATTTCGTCCACATATGTTAAATCTCCCCTATTTAATTCCAACAATAATTGATTTTACGTTCCCTATCGGTTGATATAACATTCTTACACAACCAAATAGTATTATATTCTTTGCAACGTAACAAATAATAAAAACATATTTAAAATATTGTTAAATAAATACATCACGTTTTAAATAATAGCGAGACTCATAATATGAAAGCTTCAGGTGACTGTGACAACGATTATTTTCACCTTATGTAGGATTATTATACATTCACATAAATAATTTATAGTCTACTATTAATTTTGTTTATTAATGCCAGTTTTCTAGTTTTGCTAGTTGTTGTTATAGCAAAATAGGAATATGCCAATATTTATTCTATATCTTGGGGCTTTCATTTTCCCAGATATTTGCCCCCAAGACGCATTTGAACTTTCGGGGTGTATATATATTAGGCTACAACTCAACTATGGCACTTTCTGACCTCATAATACTAACAACGTTTTCTTCATCAACATTTTACAATAATTGCATGATGTTTAATTATTTAATCTTGCGTACGACATCACAGTTTCATGTATAAATTATATGTTTAATATTAATTTATTTTGATTGCTTAGTGATATTGAGCTCATTAGTTCATAAAAATAGTACTATTTTATAGGCCGTCACTCGTGATTATGAAATTTTATGTTTGGTTTTAATGTATTTACAAATTTTAAAATCATTATAAATATTATAATTTTGATTTTAAATCAATCTTAAAGCTTAATTTGTATTTAAACCTGAATCTAAATGATTTTACTAATTTAACATAAAAACATTGTAGATATAAGATTGAAATTTTTTTTTAATTGTCAAAAACTTTTCCCTTGTATTAGGTGTAACATGCAATTAACTTTTGCTTTGGCCCTGGCAATGTAAAGAACCTTTTTTGTTCACGTTTGGAAGTATAATTAGTAATATTGACGCTGAGGCAAAACTGAGACCTTATTTAGCATTTGCAATAAGAAATTGTATTGTATATACATTGTAGTTCAAAAGTACGTGATGGTTTAAAATATATTTATTACATGCATTGAAAATTGCAAGACTTAAACTCCTGGATAGGTGATAGATATTTATCACCTTTGTTTATGGATGTCACAACAATCTTATACATAGTTGTATAACTATATCGCTTTTAATAAATTTTCACTTTATATGATCTACTAATTAAAATTTTCCTTCATAGAATTAACATATTTCCTATGATTACCAATGAGAAATGTACATAGTTTGATGAAAATAATGGTAATATATGTATCTACTTAATTATATGTTCGAGGTCAACGTCTATGTCAAATAGGGCGTTGTTTAAATTTATGACCAAACAGTAATGTATATTTGTACAAAGTGAAATGTTAAATTGGGCATTAAATAATAAATGTTTTGAAAAAATCGTGTGGATACACACAAAAATGTATATATTTAAAAGATTATACTAATTCTCAAAAGTTGAATCATGTAAATATTCGTAAAAAATAAAATATAGTTAAACCTTAATGTTTTACTGCTATTTATATCCTATATCTAATATATTATATATTGTATATCGTTTAAATATGTTTTGCGTATACATAGTATAGTACCACAAATCACCTTTCAACAAACTGTAATTTTTTTAGAATACCTTTTTGGTAATGTTTGTGTGTGGGTGTACTAGAATTATTTCAAGAAAATATTGAAAAGTAGTAAAAAAAATACTTTTACTAAAGATTATAATTTAGACATGTAACTTGATACCTTAAGCTTAAAATTAAAAATACAAAACAAAAATTAGTAAATTAAACATTTTTTCTGCACGCTTTATGTACAATGAGTGTTTTATTCGGTAGTGAAATCAAACCCTGTAGTATGTAAAAAACGCAAAACCATAATTAATCATCTTCAAAAAACGCAGGGTTAAGTTGCGTTGTTACAAAAGTGCAGTAGTTTTTAAGCGTGTGCATGTTATTTTTTGTAAAATCTTTTACCACTTGTGGTGGGGGGATTTATTACCCCTAGGCTACCCCCCCTCAGTAGCCTGGAGCTTGGTTTGGTGGTGTTATAAGCGCCCCTCCTCGTCACCTAAGCCAAAATCCAAATTTTATTTACAAACTTACAAAATTATCTAGTCACTTATCGACAGTATGTAATTTAATCGAACTTTAACTAGTTTGTTCCATCAAATATCACTTAGAAATGGTACTTAGTATGCACATCAAGAGCTTGTTAATTAATTTAATTCCTAAATCAAATGTTACAACTGTACTGTAGATGACTAATATTTCAGTGATACTAAGCAAAATCTATTCTTAGCAATAAAAGATGTTAAAAAAATTAAGAAGTGAGTATAAAATCAAGTAACAGTTTAATGTATTAAATAAAACCGTTAACTTTGTTAGAACAGAATTTATGGTATGTTAGATTAATATCGGAATTTATTTATTTGATTAAACATCCATTTCTCCAAGTGGGTATCATTTTACGTTTCACTGGCTTCGGTTCCGCTTAACTAGAGATTAATTTTCCCTTTGTTTGACAAATCGTTTGTTTAATTTTTGTGACAACCGAACCAATCACCAATTAACGGGCTTACAAATATAACGAGTCGACACAGGGGTGGAGAACTAAAAACAGGCTGGATTAGTCGATAATTGCAGCTGGCTTAACCTGAGGCTGCGTGTGTTTGTACCACATTAATTATACCTTTACAAAGCTAACTTGCTGATTACGATGTATTGTGGAATTATACTAGTGTTATAAGTCATTTTGCTCTTACTGTATTAAAATGTGAGTTTACTTATTATTTGGCATTAATTCTTCCAACGAATTAATCACATTTCGTCTATAGTAGTGGGGGTTGTGCGCATATGGAAAAAACCCTTATCTACCTCATCATGGCAAACCTCATCTATGCTAATATTTTTGAGGAATTCTTTTAAGGTACCATCCCTTTCTCATGCAAGAAGGTGTCTGTAGGTTTAGTTTTCGTTTAACACTAAAGTTTTAAGCCCCATTCTGATGAATGTTATGACTAGTTCGGTACAAAACCTAAAATGCAGGTTTTGTTGAATATTCAACGGGGAAGTATCATAAAACCTCGGTAATTTGTAATGTTGAGTGCAGCTCAAAACTAATTATATCTATTAAAAAAACGATTGTAAAAATCAAATGGATTTTAACACAAATAAATATATATGATAGTTATAATAAATTTACAGTATTTCAAGACAACATATCGTTTGGTGTATGCTATCCTAGGGGATAGTGCTTTGTAGTTTAATTTGAAAGAAATACTATTCACGACAATGGTTTATTATTTCAAAATTTATAATATTTTTGTACACAAGCCCATTAATGAAACTATTAAAAAACACATGAATATGAAAGCATGTTAAATTGATTTTCATCAGTAATTTCACTCATTATAATAACTGTAGTCAGATAAAAAGACAAAGTTGTATTTTCTAGGGGCTTCCAGTTGTATGGTGACACTTTTATATTGCGCTCATTTGGCCTGGCTTGGCAAGTGTTGGGACCGAAATAAATGGGCAAAAACAGGTCAGAGAGTAGGTCAATTGGATTGTCAATATCACTGCCACAATAGCCAAGGTCCAGGGGAGAGATACATTTAGATCCCTCTTGACACTTCCATCAGGGCTGTGTAATGTGTTTTATTTGTCAGGAACGTTATTGGGCTGAATTTGTAGGTCGAATAAAACACTGACAAAAAGAATTTAGTTTTGGATTTTTGTTGTAGAATACTTACGTGTATCTCAACATAATAACAATTAGTTATTGTATTTTAATAGATTTTTCCCGGGAAGTGGTTAAAAACCATTCCCATATGTAAGTTAAGATTGATAATTTGGATGTAATGGTTTGTGATTTGTAGTGTACAAATCGAAATAGAAAAAAACAGAATTTGCTATTTTAATTTGTTTTAAATTTTGATGCTAGATTATGTTATTTGGAGGATTATTGAATAAAATTTCCTTAAACATTTTATAGAAAATTTCGAACTGACGTAAGCAAAATTTTTTCTCATTTTCCCTCAACATAATTCTATGAATAATTTTGCACTAATTTGTTATCTTCGGCTGACTTTGGGCACTAATAATGATTTCTTTTAGGAACTTGGATACGTAAGGACAGTATTGGATTCTAGATCTTAAAACGTTGTAAAAACCTATTGAACTGTACCAAAATAAGCAATGTACATACTCCATTAACTTTATTGTACTGATTGTTTGTGTTTACATGAAGATTAGTTATTCAATCTAAGAAATAGAATAAACATAAAAGTATATGTGTGAAAAAATTTGAATAACATTTGTGAATGATCATTCCAACTCAACAATACCTACTTTACCATTGGACAGTTATATTAGATTAGTGTTACAACAGATTATGATAACATTAACACTGTGTCAAGCAAGCTTTAAATCAAGCAGAATTCAGATGTGCTTCACTCTTACCTCAAACTTATATTTCCATAGCCACTAGATACAAAATTTTCCACAGTTATATGGTTACAATGTTAGTAAACACTTAAATCTTGAAGTTTATTTGCATTTCACACTTGTTAACAAAGGTTTGATTTCGACAAGAATTAGTTGGAACTTTCTCAAATAACTTCACCCAGTAGGTCTTTATGGCAATAAATTTACATGAAATAGAAAAAAAGGGTATCACACGATAATAGTTTTGAGAGGCTCGGTATAAGCTGTCATCCATGATAACTTATAAGTTCGTAGACATTTAATAACGAAAGGTTGGATCAAAGACTTATTGTAACCTCGATATCAATTTTTATGGCCTCAATATCACTCCTGCCGTTGGTACATGGGTCTGATTACTAATAAATTCTATATAGGTACTTCAGGGTTCCCACTGAAGAAAACCCGCAGATAATAAATAACTATACTTCAAAAGAGTAATTTACTTCATTCTTGTCTCAACAAAAAAATATTTTGGTTTACAGATACGAATTATCAAAATGTTAAAATAATTATTTCTGACAAAGAAAATATTGGTTTTTGATGGATGACCACATCGGAAATTTTGGCCAGCATCAGAGACTAATCCCGTTGATGTTGTAGATTGTCCCGAAGATGCAGAACATCCAAAACATTCGTCTGCACAGTTATTCATCACATACCATTACAGAACAGTATACTTTTACCTGTGGAGCCTACCTTCTAGGTTATTATTATTAATTTATTTACAATCAAACGTGAAGTTAACGAGAAAGTCCCGTTTCCGTACCTCGTTTGAGAAAACGGCTGACGAAAGGCTTTTTAGGTTCTGGCTCCTTCGGGTCGGAATGAAGGAGAAATCTCCTTTTCACCTCCTCAGTGGAGAAGACCGCGCCCGTGTGTTGGAGGCGAGGGCTGGCAGGGGCTGGAGCGGGGGTGGGTGCAGCGGGGGCAGCTCTGGAGGCGGCGAGGGGACACGTTACAAGAATCAGGGGCGGCTGGGGTCCTGAGCCAGGGCGAGGTTAAAGTTTGCAGGCAGAGGATAGCATACAGGGTTAGTGTGGCAAACCTCAGATGGGTTCAATTTTAAAGCTAAAAGTATTAGTTTACATTGTAGCGTTTATTTAGTGAAGTTTTTCGAATATTGGGAAAAATGTTGAAAAATGATAAGACCCCTACCATCGGATATTTTTTTTCAAAACGTTGTATTTTTCCAAGCAGGATACAAGAGAATGGTGTTTCTAAGCAATATTTTTTATAAAATTCTCTCTGAAAGACAAAATTTCAGAAATATAAAAATAAATACAGGGTTATTTAAAAAAAGTATCGGGTCTGGTTCACTGTAGCTTCAATCCCCTCCTCTGCCATTTTGAATGTAGGGTGTATTTTCCTAGCTGAATTTTAATAACAGTTTACGTTTACTTGGAGTTGTCTCCACTAAAATGGTTTTAAGACTTTGTTATGGAATCCAATCTTCATAATTTTTAATAAAATATAATTATTTTATAAAGGAAATTTAAATAAAAAACATAAATATAATAAATAATAAAACATAAATTTAATAAAATTTTCATAAATTCAATTTTCATAAATTTCCATAAATTAAATCCAATGATTTACGTGCGAAACTCTTTGTCATATAGCCTATCAAACTGTACTATTGACTTATGGATACAGAAGTAAATACCTCATTTGTATAAACCATTTTTAGGTAATTTTTAATTTAAAAAACGTGTGATATAATTATAAAAAAATATATATAACTCCAACTATTTTAAAGTTTTAAGTTGAATAATTGAATAATAATAAGTTATAGTTGAATAATAATAAGTTTTAGTTGAACAATTTCAAGCTCATAATATGACCTTGACCTGTCTAGGTTTGTTCTAGACAGGAGGTGGAATTTATTTCGGCTGTTGAAGCATGAAGTTGTACATAGTTGAATAAGCCACACAGAGTATGTAGGCTGTTAAATTGATATTTTCTGTTTTTGAGGATTGATTTAGGATAAAATATGTTGTAGTTCCCCCCTCACTCAGGTGTATATGGCAGTGGTCAGTGATTAATGATTTCGTTACTACTGCATTTGAAAATAATCGTACCAAGTTTTGTTCGGTTTTGATTGGACAGCACATTTAAAATAAAAAGAATACTCGTTGAGGTTTACCATGTAGGTTCTCACTTGCATGAACATTTCTACAAACCTTTCAAATTAATCCTGGTAAAACAGATATTTAACAGTGAAATTGTTGTAATTTTCAGTACGCAATTCAGAGGTTTCGCACTATTTAGTAATGTTTAAATTTTAATTTGCATCATAAAGCTGTAGGGAAACAATACATAAATGTTCTTGCAAGTGAATGATTCAAGTTACAAAAGCTATAACACGGGAGGTAGATGTTAGCTTTGGTACTTATGTGCTCCTACTCAAGTTAGTCAAAGTTACTAATGATTAGTAAAGTTTGCAAGGTAGATATTGTAGATAAAGGAAGTTCTGTATTTTGTAATACCTTAGTCTTGTGAGTTTAATGAGTTTTCGGTGTATTTGTTTTCTTTTAAGTATGTAAAATTTAAAAACGGACTTAAACCATGATTTGGATTAACAAATATGGTATCCAGTTCATAATTATTATCCTATAGTGATTTGTGTGTAAGAATTTTAGTTACATATTTATATACACATTGTTTTTGATAAAAATTACGTCAGCAAATAATATCGTATCATTAATGTTAGGAAATTGCAAGGCTTTGCTTTACTGAGTTCACTTAATTTACACATTATCCATTTACACTGTATAACGTGAAAGTGGCCTCATAATGACAGCCACTTTGACCATTAATGGTCTCATAGATTAAATCAACAACGCTCTTCATTTTTATTTCAATGGATTATTCCAACTCAAATGAAATGTAAAAAAATTAAATCGGTAGAAAAAGGTTAATTTGTTTAGTTTGGTAAAACTAAGACTACGTTATAATGCTCGGTCAAGTAAACAATCATCCAAATTTCAAGTGATATAATGTTATGTGGTATTTATGGATTCATTTTGTGCTTACACAATAGGTACCTAGAACAGTAAAATAACTGATCAATTTGTAAGTATATTTTAGAAATTTCAGTGTATTTTTTGTATAAAATGAATATAATTCAAATAATAAATCACAAGGCAAGGGTTCTAAAATTCAAATTTATAAAAACGAACACAATATACAAAACATCAAGGTGCAGACTGCACAGTACAATGCTTACGTAATTTGATCCTCTTACTTCCATGAGGTAACCGATTTTGTCAGGAAATCCCGACATGAGTCGCTTAACAAATGGATAACTCATAATGCAGAGTAACTACAACAGAATCATCAAAGGACATGCAGTTGCAATTTCTACTGCATAACCAGATGATAAGCTAAGCGCTTGCGTCATACCTGTAGTGGTGACTTCAGAGGAAGTGGAAGACCGCCTGGAACCGGAAGTAGGCGTGGTCTTGGCTGCAACAGAAGTCTTTCTTTGGGTTTGCTGTAAGGAGCTTACAGAGGATCCATCATCTGAGTCTGCTTCACTTGACATGACCTGTTGCAGAGGATAGCACATTACATTAACATAGCAGGTCGTGAATCAGGCAAATGTTTTATTAAATTTTATCCTCAATGTTGGTATTGAGGTAGTCTACATCTCAAACAATATTCAAACCACATGTTTACATTAAAAATCAGTATACTTCATGAAAATCTTTGCAAATATCTTGTACCTTGTTTATGAGGAGTTATCTTTAAATATAAGGAATTAAGTAAGCGTCTTTGTTGAAATCGAAACAAAAATACAGTGTGTACGATTGTACATAAATTGAAAGGTGTACAAAATGGTGGCTATCAATTTATATCAGTATATTATAAACATATCTTATGTGATTCATACATGTTTAGCACGTATTTTACAAATAAAAGGTTAAATACGTGTAGTACTGTCGGCCATGACTCATTTTTGCCGGCTAAACCACTCACTCTACCGTATCAGTATTATAATTGGCCAATTTAAAGTTTTTTAAATGTGGTTGTTTTGATTTGTGTATTTTACTACTCTTCTCAGTTATGAGGAGGATTTGGTGTATGTATGTGTTGTTAACTGGCGACAGCTTGAAAATGAACGTTTAGGCTCGAAACCTGGGTCGCTGACCTAAACACAGGTCACCAAATTGTACTAAAGGTATTTAATCTTTAATTTATGTAATTCAATTAATGTTTCATAAATTATATTTGTTAAATGGAAAATATATTTAATGATTTATTTCCAATAATAACAGAAATATGGTTCTCCGGGGAACATTTGACTTTAGGTATTTTTGTAAGTTTTAGTATAAAGTTTCTTTGAAGAGTGATAAATGTAAATGGTATTCTAAATATATTCCTTGAGTAGATTTTGTAAGCATTTCACTAACAAGATGTAGTCTAAACATCACTTTTCTGGCCTACCTCCTGTGATGGCTTCCTGGTGGTGGGTTCTGAAGACGGTGTAGACCTAGAAGACCCTGACGTCGGTGAAGACGCTTGTTGACGGTCCTCTCTCTCTTCTTCTGGCCGTCCCTTTAAGGCAGACACCCTATCTGCTGCAGGACGAACCGGTTCAGGGGCTGAAGATGCCGGTTCCCCAGGTGCGTTCTTCATCAACCTTTTGATCTTAGTCACTTCATCTTCCTCACTTATCTGTCGCTGAGCAGCAGCCACAGGTCTCTTTGGTGGTTGGAACTTTTGAACTGGTGGTGCGGCAGGTGGGGGAGGTTTGTCCTTTTTTGTCTCAGAGTCTTGCAGCCTCTTCATTACTCTAGGAGAGTCGTAGAGTCTGGTAATTCCACTGAGTGGTCCTTTGGCTACATCCTCGGTGTCAAGGACACGTTCTCTTTCTTTCTGTTGTGTGTGACTTCCTTCGGTGAATCTGACAGATCTTCCTCCAGACGTATCATCGTCTGAGTCACCGGCGGCATGGCGGTTCATCCTGGCCCTGATCCTAGATCTTGCTGTAGATCGGTTTCCTTCGTCATAGGGAGAATCGTAATCTCCACCATAGTCACCCCTGTCCCTATTTCTGCCGTATCTTCCACCTTCGTATTGGTCACCAGTATTTCTCGCTGCAGGTCTTTCCCCGAATTTTCTTCCACCCAAGGGAGACACTCTGCCTGATTCAGACCCCTCGTAGCCCCTGTCATACTGTTCTTGTTGTCTGTACTGCGAGGCCAACCTATGGTCACTCTTAGATCTCATCAGGCCTGGCCCAGGAGGTTGTAGCATACCCCCTCCACTCTGGTTGGAAGATTGGTTACCAGTAAATTGATGGGGCATGTTAATAGACAGGTCTCCATAACCAGCCACATGCAGGACTAGTTGGTTGGGGTCGTGTGCCATGATGAACCTTGCTTTTCTCGTGTAATCTCCAGTCTCAGCTTCGAAGTTTCTTACAAACTCGACAGTCTTTAGAAAAATCTCTTTGGCGTCCATCAATTCACAATCGTCCCACTCTATCTCCTCCGACTGCATATGCTTATCAGCTAGATCACAGTTTGCCTGTATGTTGGAAATTTCAGTTTCTAAATTGTCCTTTAACGTATTGAGGTTTTTCAGTTCTGTTGACAAATACCTGTCGATTTCTCCACGTAAAAACTCGGTTCGATCCTTGAGTGCTTTGTTCAGTCTTCTGTAGATTTCGTCTACTTCGTCTGACACAGAGGTACAGTTAGTTTGTAATGCAAGCATGTTCTTCTCTACGACTGCAAGTAGGTCTTGTAGTCGGTGAAGACCTCTCCGGACCTTTAAACATGATATTGTTGGATAGAAATTGAATTTAAGAACATAAACTTAAGTTATAAGCATATATTAATTAAGAAATCTGCATTATATGTGTTATAGATCAGCTTTCTACGTACATTTTAAATTATTATATTTATCAAACGGTTCATACAGCTATTCTACTGGTATCATTTAGAGAAAATAAACTGATATGTCAAGATTTGACGATGAACTGAAATCAGATTAATGTAAATAAAATGAAGGATGGTGAGTAAGATATTTCGATAAACCGTTAATTTTTTACCAATATGATACGATTGATTAATATGATTGAATAACTTTGCAGATGTGGTTACAGAAGGGTCGACAAATATATAAGTTGGAATATAGTGATGAGAATAGTTGTAGAATAGAAAGAAATAATCTTTTAACAATAGTATTAGAACGCGAGAGCCCATTCGAAACGAATGGCTTGGATAACAGTGGAAAACACGGTAAACGGTTTCAAATTTTGTTTTAGAAAAATGTTTGATATGCAAATTTTGAACCATTTATATGATATGATGTGTTAAACATCAACTTGTATCACTCACCTGATTGTTTATCCTGGAAATTTCTCTTCGCAGGATATCCATGTGGGCTCCTTTGCAGTCTGGACAAATGTCCTTCTCGCAGTGGACACACATGCTGCAGTATGCCTTCTCTGAGCATACTCCACACCGCTTCATCACCTGGCCACTGGTAGGGTCTGGCAGCTCTCCTGTGATCTCTATGTGCAGCTCTAGGAAGCGTTGGAGGGTAACGTTTGTAGGGAAGCCCTGGACTCCCTGGTAGGGGATACGGTGTTCTGCTCGACACTCCGGACATTTTACCTATGGCGCATTACAATGGTAAGAGAATGAAAACATATGCTTAATGCTTCATTTTTATATGTTTTTGTTTTCGCTATGGGATATTTTTGTACACTTTTATAATTTTTTTTTTCAGAAATATAATGCATTAATTTATTCAGTGACAATGGAAGTGATAGATGCGACCTGCCTCGAATATGCTATGTCTTGCCTCCGCCTAGGACACTACCGTATTCAGTTACAAACTACCATTTTGCTTAAGCAATTGTATTTTTTTTATTTGCTTAAAGAAATATTCATGCCAATCTAAGTAGGGCTACTCATATTTTTATATTTATAAACTGGAAAAAAAATATCAACATTCAGTATTCGCACCCCCTTAAATCGGCAAACTATTTCGGTTGAAGGGCAAAATAAAATTCGCAATTAAATTTGAGGAGTATATTTTGGAAAAACATTTACAATCTTTAATACTTAAAAATCTGTAACCTTGCTAATGATATGTTTGTCTTAAACACAAACATTGGACGAAACTTGAATAATGTACCACCTTAAAATCCTAAAAAAAATTTACGACAATTTAGCAACAATGAAAAAAAAACACTCCCGTTAGAAATATAAATTTTAGATACTATCATAGATAAAACATACTCCTTTTTTTTAGTTACTATTTTTAAATATCCTATAAAAATTTTAATATCAAAATCTTAAAAATTTAATATTAAGTTAACAGATGTTAACCAAACAAATAATTGAATAACCGATGTAAAACAAGAATGAAAAGATTCCAGAGACGCCGAAGTGAAACATAACTTTGAGGTTTTTATTGAATACTTTTACTTTCCAAGTGAACAGCCTCGAGGAAATGAAGTTTCTTTAAGACAAGGCAGATTTAATTTTAAAGCTTCCTTCGGCATTTTCTTTATGTTCCTTTTATACTTTTTCACGGGTAAAATATAATAAGTTTACAGTAAAACGGCAATTAATTATTTCTAGTAGGAACAAATATAAACTCTGTTTCAATCTAATATGTGACAACAATATTTTAAGAAGCTAGTTCTATAGGTTAGAAATGTATCTTTTAAAAAGACCAATAAATTCATAAATATATACATATCTACTATTTATCTACCTAGTTAACACAAAATAAACATCTTAAAACGTAATAGGCTTATCGTTGTTTTCATATTCTGTATTTAACAGTTAACTGAAAATGCTTAAATCGTCTGATCTGGCGTAATTTATTGTGTATTTAGAAACCTTGTAACTTCCAACTAATTGAGCTGTGTTAGAAATACATATAATTTTATAAAACGTAACTAGATTACTGAGAACCAACCTGTCTTCGGACATAGTCGACCAACCCGTCCATGCAGGGCTCCATACAGAAGGAGTGTTGGCATGGTAACAGCTTGGGGTTGCGGTACCGATCCAAGCAGATGGCACAAGTAAGCAATTGTTCAAACTGCTCCATTGCAGATTATCTAAAAATAAACCATCGATTAAGGATTATAATGTCCATAAAATAAAAAGAATAAAATTTTTTTTTGAAATTGTATTAATAGACAATTTTTATTCTTGGTACTAATTTGAAATAAGAAAGAAATATTGTAACAATAGTTTTACAGTATGAAAAAGAGGTACGGATATCAAACATTTGTTTAAGATTGTATTGCGATGTGATGATTATTGGGTGGGGGGAGGAGGGTAGTTGTCCAGAGTGAACATGTGAGTGTAGTGTAGTAGTGCAATGTCAATGATCAGGCCGGTATAGTACCATGCACATTCACACAACACGCTTTTTTAAAACAGAGGTAGATGGTGATTTACTTTTAGGTACTTTTCGCACATGAAAGTACCTTTCGAAGATCGAAGATCGAGGTACCTTTCGATCAATTATTTAGGTCATATCAAACAGTTGGTTTGAGAAAAAGATTTTGATATTAGTGGGATGGATATACCAACATTTCAAGAATAACGAGTATTATGGGTGTGAGTATTTTTTTTTCAAAATTGTATTCAAAGTGTTTGAAGATGTAAACTAAAATAAATTGTTTTAATCATTATCGGACTGTTAAAACTTTTACAAATAAATCGTCAGTTGGATACTTTTGTTTTCGTTGAATGCATCTAAGAATATATTTTTGAAATTTAAAAAGTGGTTGAAATATTGTTTTAAATTTACTTTCGAATGCTATAATACCGAAAAATAACAATGGCTGGACAGTTGCATTGTATACTGTTTTGATTTCATGCTCATCAAGAATGTTACTTCGTTGGTAAATGCAGTAACATTTTTTTGTAATCATGCTTTTTAAATATGTTGCATGTTCGGACGATTTCATATTTCAATAAAAAACTATACCGAGATATTTGAATGAAACTTTGTCACTTTGACTAAAAAAAAACACACGTTATTAATAGGACTACCACAGACGTGAATTTTATAATCATAGTTGGTTATCAGTAGATTTGCGTAATGATATTGTCATGAATTTATTTTTTTTATATTCAGAGATAATATGTTTTGGTCAAGTCATTTTTAGAAGGAAAAGGTCTGAGTTTATTTTTAACCTCCATATAGGAACTACCAGTAACAATATTGAGAGTGTCATCTGCAAATAAAGCTATTTTTTCATTGGTTGGAATTTTCAAAATGTTTTTAATGTATACTAAGAATGAGACAGGTATATATTTATAGTATTCAATAGGCATAACGAACATTATAAACTTATACACATTATAACATATAACATTATAAAATAAGCCGTTTTTTGAGTAACGTCAGATAGAAAAATGCAAATGGCCGCCATTTTGAAATTTACAATCGGAACAACTTAATTTTTTTCTACAATAGGTCTTGTGTATTGTTACATGGTTACCAAATTTAATTATCATCGAATAAAAAGTTCACCCATAAAAATATTTTTGTATAAAAAACTAAATGGCGGATAACTCGGAAAATATGCATTTTCGAACATAGTCACTCCAAATCAACAGCAAGGTCCAGGTTTCTAACAAAAAGCAAATTGACAAGGTACAATCGGTTTATCTATGACCGGTAGGGTATTTTGGGCTGAATCGTTCGATTTCAGTTCTACGGGAAGTAATAAATTGCCAGTAAAACGTAAGTTAAAAAAAAGTAACGTTTGCTTTCCATTCACCAGGCAGATAGGTAAACATTAAGTCTAAAATCAGTCCCTATGATCTTTTTTCACTTCCTAAATTGCTATTGTAATACAATAAGATAGTTACTTTTTGAAACCCCAATACTCAACAAACTAATCAATATCCAAATACTTTAGAACTCTTAAAACTATGTATTTTAATAAAGTTATTCGACAGATCTAGTTATGAATACTCGAGTCAGTGTAACTTAATAACAAGTCCTGGAGCAAGTTTGGCTAATGATGTTAACAAGGACTTGTAGCGTCTTGAACCATCGCTGACCACTTCTGTCGTCAATTCCAGATATAATTAGTATTATTTCAAAGCTTAAAATTTCTCTGTGGCATTCTTCAAATTCTTATACAACCAGCTCTGGTGACTTTCTCTGGTAATGGTTTTTTTAACTTATTTTCTACTCATTCCATTTTTTTTTTATTTTCATATAGGTAGTTCAACAGTCTAATATTTTTCAAAGAGCTAATCTAGAGAGTGTTATCTTCGAACCCCTTTTTCAAAGATATATTGATATAGAAAGCTAAGGTGAAGTTTTAAAATTGAACCATTAAAACAAATTTACTGGTCTCAGTTTTAGTTTTTTTTTAGAAGACTGTGGAAAAAAAATCTTATAGGTTTTAAGAGATGGTTTCCAATGGAAACCTCTTTTATATGGTTCTCCTCATCAATAACATACTATTATTGGTTATCTCCAAACTTTGGAATTGAGGACTGAAATTTTTAAACTTAGATTAAAAACTAACTACATTCACATACAAATATACAAGGATTTATGACACTTAATAAATTTATGCTATGGCCTGGAAAAACGTGTGTTCTCAAAATGAATCATTTATTAAAAGTCCTATTATTCACCTATACTAACAGACAACAGTGATAAGCCCTCAAACAACAGATGTTCCAGGGTTATATGATGTAGGTCGTGCACGTAAGCGCTTGCTGATATTCAGGACGTTAACTAGAGAATTCTCAGTAGCAGAAATAGATGGGCTAAATATAACGAGAGAGACTCCAATAGAAGAGTTAACAGATTCGTTGCAAGGGTTAAACAACTTTACTTCACTCTATCTAGATGATGCACAAACATTGGCAATCGATGATTTTTAAGTTACTAGGTATACTTGTTCTTGATGCATGCATATATTAAACATTGCATGTTGGAAGCGTTCACTTAGTAAAGAATAAGTTTTCTTGTCTAGTTTGGAGAAAAGTAGTGATGTGGTAATAAATTACAGAATTTCTCCTTAATTTAAAAATAGATATTTTTGAAAACTATTGTTTAAAATTAATAGTGCACGTAATTAAAAATTATCCTGATCCTCATTTTTTTATAATTTAAGAATAACTTAAAACGTAACTCTAACCGGTTTAACTCATATCAAACATTATAGTGGATTTTAAATTGCCTTGATATATACATTAATTAAAATTTTAAAATGTTGTTCGTAGTAATATTGAGAAAATAATAAAAAATATATATAGTTTCATTGCGATTACACCTGTATTAACACTATGTACGTTTATCAATGTTGGAAAGCCAAGGGAACGTTGAGCCTAATAATTTATATACTCTAGTATAACTTTTCATTGGTGCAATGTTTTTTAGTTTTATGGTAAATGAGATAACTATTGGCTAGAAAGCAAACTTTTTTGTAGGTCCAGGTTGAAACTGTGCTAATTTATCATTGGTAGATTGTTATGTGGCAATTTAATGCCAAATGGATTCAAATTTCTGCATATACATGCCTTTTCGAGAAATATGCCCATTAACAAGAGAAAATATTTTTTTTTTAAGTCAAATGATTTGTTTAATAAAATTGTGTTATTTTTTGTGTTAGTATTGTTAAGTAATGGCAAATTGTAAAGTATTGCCAAATTTACGTGTCTCTGTTTTGTAATCTAATTCCAATATACAACATTACTCATATTACGTATCCCTCAGTATGCACGACTACATGTAAACATTTCCAAACCAGACCATAATCAGAACATGTTAGCACCACTTATGGTGATATAACGAGTTGTTTTGGTGTAATTTGTATGGTAAACCAGGACCCATAAATCTCGCCTCATTAATTAAGCGTTCAGATGCAATGGGTTGCGGTCCCATCCTTCACAAAGATGTATTCCGTGGGTTCCCCTGATAACGGCGCAATCATGTCCAAGATAACGTGATAAATCGAGTTTACGCGTTTCTCCATTATAGCGTCGTAATTTTCGTTATCTCTATAGCCCAATATCCAACCCTTGTGTACTTTGTTTATTTTTAGGCTGTAAGAGTACGTTTTGCAATTATGTATTGCATTAAACCTAGTATAAGTTAGTTAAGTTAATTTATTTATTTTAACCCTAGCGTTTAAATATGGAGGCTATCTTATCAATTTTTAGCTATATCTCTGCTCTTATTAATAATTATATGAACTTATTGACTTTGATAGAAGTAACATCCTCTTGAAGATGGATGATGGAGAATGAAATGTCTTTCCCAGATGTTTGATAGAAGTAGTTAAAATTTCAGCCAGACTACTTTTAGAATACAATATAACCTAAGTTTATTAAAAGAACCAGCAGAAAATGCAACTATATATTACAAGAGTCTGCCAACTTTTAAATAAAGTAAGACTGAAAGGGGAATTTCTTGTGAACAGTGGCATCTTTTAAGTAATTTTAATCATCGTAGTAACAACTATGAGGTATAAAATAATTTCTATAGGCTTTCCAAGAGGCTTATTTAACTTTGAGTAATTTCCTACAGACAGTCTTTAGGGTAAATACCCCCTTCGCTCTCTAAAAGTCTATCATAAAATACAGACTTGAAGAAGTGAGATTAGTATCAAACACAATAGTACTTCCCCGAAAATTCAACTTCATATAGTAAGTCTTACTGTTTAGGGACTTTTGAAAGCTATTATTAGCGTAAATTTGTTAAAACAACTCTAATTAACAGGAAACTTCAAGAGACTCAACAGAGGTACGAGAAGTTGTACGAGTTTTTGCTTCAAGGGATGAGATCTTTAAGTTCCCTTTGTACAAAGGAAATTATTTAAAATTAGTTAACTCAGAAGTTTTAATGATCGACTTATTGAAGTTGTACAATTTATCTTGGATTTGCATAGTTGTAAACCATTAGCTTAGTACAAAAGTGTGTATCAACGCAACTTCCTTTGTAAATTAGTGTTTACTTCTTCCGTAACGTTAAAAATTAAACAACGTATTTTTTGTTATATTATATTTTCAATCCATGAGTATTGAGAATGAGTTAACACTTGGGCAATATTATAAAAGATATTTATCACCAATC